CTCATCTTTTTAAGTGGGGGAACTTGCACAATTGGTGGCTGACTAAATACTTTTTTGCCCCCCTGTAACTTAACCCTTCAATGTCATGCAAACCACTTACTGAGGATTTGGCCAGACTTACTCCCAAGACTGAGATGATATTCTAGAGAGGCCATTTGAAAAAGGAGCCTCTCTAAGAACTCTCATATCTACTTCCTTGCTAGTTTTCTCACAGGAGACTGCAGCCACATGGGGTGGGGCTGAGGAAAGGAGCAAGAAGGGAGGGGTTTGGAAAGGCATCCCAAATTTCTTACTGTTTTTTACTGGTGGCATCAAACCCAGTTGCACCATAGATTTTTCTCCCTCCAGAGGGGAGAAAATTTTTTTTAAAAAGGCAGGAAGTGAGGAGAGAACTGACAGCCTCACAGCCTCCTTTGTGGTAGAAAAATGACATTTATTTTATGTTATGTGTTGCTGGCACATAAAAGAGAGTGTTTTGATTGGAGAAGTGAATGGTGGTATCATACATGTTTGAGGTACATTGATTTCAAAACTATTTGCTATTAATTTTTTATTCCTTTTATCTATATAAGAAGCTTTGGGAAAGCTTGTCTTTAAAGGTAGGTCTAGCAATATTATAAATAAATAAATGAGGGGTTTTCATGTCTTAACAACTTTCTACAGGTTGTGAATAAAGGAGAAAAAGAAAAGACAGGCTAATAATTTTATTTTTATTAGGTTACAATGCTGTGATAATCTAGTTCTGATTATGTCATTTTCCAATAACTAGGTTATTAAAAAGCATATTAATATGCTGATTACCACAATCTAATTAGCATTGTGGTATTAAGTATCTTAAGAGGCTAAGAGAACAAACGTTTTGCAGGATTTCCGTTGGTTCATCATGAGTGAACTTACATTCTACAAAAATGTATACACTCATTTTGTTAAAGCCCTGTGGTGTCTCAAGTTTGAATATGACATGAAACATGGGACTATATGAGAACATAAAGAGGAAGCAAAAATCTTCTCAGAAGCCCAGGTGCATGGCAGGGAAGGGTGGGAAAGGTTTGCTTAAATTACAATAATAGTTTAGCTTTCATGAAACCAAGGCAGTTAAAGATTGCTACACACCTGACTCAGTGCTGTCAGGTGATGTACTAACATTTCCCAGAGAATAATTTCCTTTGCATGGCATTGTGCTTAAATGTCTTTTGAGCACTTAGGACAAGCTTCTGTCATAGCACTGGCTGGAACCAAATCACATTGCTACCTGAAGCTGTGATATTTTATGCCTAAGCATTTAAAAATTCCTTACTTGCCTTTCAAGAAACTTCTCTAGTTATTTAGGAAGGTTGTCATACTGCTACAATTGATCTAAGAGATTTAACTTAAATCTAGTTTTCTTTAAAATTAACTCACTGCTTTAAGAAGATTCACCAGCACTTCAATTATATTTTATTTTAAAATAATAATAAACGATATGTCCCTCTTCCAGTAAAGCATTGGAGAGTTTTTACTTTTAAAAAGATGAAATTGCGTGTTTGTTATATTCCTGTTGGTGAATTGGTATATTTTCATTGATCTCATTGAATACAGAATAATTGCATGATCCTGGCCTGTAAGCTCTTTTAGGACTGATTTAATAGCAACATTACAATTCAGACTTCTGAAAACAAGTGAAAAGGAAAGAAGCAATAATTAGTGAGGAAACTCTGAATTAATTAAGGTTCATAAACATTTAACTGAGACTTGTAGATTGCACAGAATAAATGTCTCTTTCAGCACAGTAGAATAGTACAGTAGGTAAACAATTGAATTAAAGGATTAGTGGTTGGAGATATATCTTGAGCCTAGGTACCAAACACCAGATCCAGGAAGGCAGATTCTGCTTGACTGTTAGGGAAAGAAAAAGCCTCTTAACAGTAAGAACAGTTTGACAATGGAGCCAGTTATCCAGAGAGATGGTGGTTCCCTTTCATTAAATCAGTTCAGGTGGAAGCTGGATGGCCATTTCTCTGGGATGCTTGAATTTGGATTCCTTTATAATTAGGGTATTGGACTTGATGCTTAGGTGGCCATTTCCAAATCTGTGATTCTGTGATTTTAGTCTGAGTTCTCTTTAAGAAAGAAAAATAACCTGGTAGGTCTTTTTGTTAATGAAATTGGTAGGGCAGCCAAAGATTTGAGGAATGGTGCAAGTAGCTATTATTTCCAGAAATAGATTCATAGCATTTTCAGTGTCTTTAGTGTCAAGTCAATTTCATGTTAAATAATAGAATGATCTGTCTTTAAACCTGAATTTCTCTCTGTATCATACCATTTAAATAGCTTACAAAGTGGATGATTTCTAGCAGGTATGTGCTCCTACCTTTTTAAATGTACAGCAGGGCCATTTGATACTAAATGATGGATGATGAAGATAATTTGTGCACTTCAAAGACCAGTTTTGCTTATATCATGTAAATATATTTAAAATAAAATTCCAGTAGGGAATGGAACATGAGGGTTTATATTTAACACACACAGATAAAACTCATGTTGGGGTTTTGCCTATCTTCCAAAATGTGGTGGGGCATGAGGAGGCAGGTTTATGCAAAAGTGTTGTTTCTATGACATATAGTGAGATTCTGTGGTGATTCAGAATTGTTTGAAGTTGTAGCCAGGAATCTTGCATTTATATGCTTTCTCCCCTTTGCAGTTCCCTGCCAGCAATCCTGATTTGAGGCGTGGGTATTCCCATCTTTTCAAAATGTATACAGTATTGCGCAAAAGTTTTAGGCAGGTGTGAAAAAAATGCTGTAAAGTAAGAATGCTTTCAAAAATATATAT